TCTCCCTGCTTTTCCTCCCCTCTCCCCTCCCCCCTCCTCCCTCCTCCCCCTTCTCCTGACCCTCCTGGCCCCAGGACTTGGCCTCTTCCCCTTTCACTCACCGAGGTCCACCACCACCTCATCTATGAACTTGCTTTGGTCTGTCCCACACTGACCGCACAGAGCCCTCTCTCGACCCCTGTCCTCACTCTCCATCCTCGTGCGGACTTACAGAAGGCTCCCAGCACTCCATTCCTTCTGACCCCTCACCAGGGGCTGCAGACCACCTGCCCCCAGACAGTGGCAGGGACCCCCTTGTCTGTCCCCGCAGCCGGCGCCTCCCAGGGTTTCCTCTGTGCACCCGTGGCTAGAAGTAGAAAGTGTGCGGCGTCCTGCTGTGGACGCATTTGCCAGAGGAAGAGCATGCTTGCTGACCAGCCCGGCGGTGGCGCCCTCATCTTGCACTCGACACTTGGCGTCTGGCTCGAGTCCGCTGCTGCTGGACGACGTCTGAGACGCACTGGAGAACCGAGCTCTGAGCCTGGAGTTGTGAGGCAGACCGAGGAGCCGTGTTGGCTGCCTCCGCGCCGGCAGAACCTGGACCACAGCAGCAGACGGCGAGGTGAAGAAACTGATATCCCGAGAGTCAGGGCCAGAGGCCCAGCTGGGGCTGAGAAGGGGCTGACTCCACACCTGTGTCCTCAGCTCCACCTGCCCTTTCTGGGGCTGATGACTGCTCCCCACTCTCTCCTCAGGTTCTCTGTGTCTCCAGGACCCACCTCAGCCCTCCCCGTCCCCGAGGGGCCCCCCACAGCCTCCTCCTGGCCAGCCCGGGGCCACCGGCCCTCCATCCTACTGAACCTGGAGGCCCTGGAGGAACTGCACAAGGCCCTGAGCTGAGTGGTCCAGGCTGCCAAGAGCGTGTGTGCCACCACCCGGCGGATGAGCCGCTCCCTGTGGGCCGACCTGCGCCAGGCCCCCTGCCTGCGGGCCTCCTGCCTCTTCTGACCTCCCTCGGGGGGCAGAGACAGAGGGCGGGCAGTGGGCAGGCTGCCCGCTGCTGTCCCCCGGCCAGGAGTCGGCTGTGCCCCTCCTGAAGGCCCTGTGGACCCTCAGAGGAGGTCCCCTCCAGACCAGGCCCTGCCCGCTCGGTATCGGTGTTTTCAAACCAGAGGGGGCGTCGGCCTGGTCATTAGGAGAAGTCGCTACCCAGGGGACAGCCACTGGGGGAGGGGCAGGGACCGAGGCTGCCTCCTGTCCAGATGCAGCCTGTGGGGTCTCCTCGTCCTGCACCTGTCCACCTCCAGCTAGTAATGTGTGTTTTATATATGGAGAGACAGGTGTTTTTTTAAACTGAGTTGTTTCATGGTCTTGGGGCCCGGATTGGGCATCAGAGGCGTGGTGAGGGTCCTGTCCCTCTGGATGGCTTAGGCCCTCACAGGTGGGACTGCCTGAGAAATTCAGCCCCGGCTCCCCTGCCGCCTGAGTGGTGTCCCTTCCCTCATGTGACCATAAGCCAGGAAGCCTCCAGTCTGGAAGGAGACTGGCCTTCCCTGCTGGACTCCTGTTCAGATGCTCCTCAGTTCTCTTGATGCCACGACGTGGGCCTGCCTCAGGTGTGACCCCATCTCGAGGGCTCCAAACACACGTGCACGATGGCCGTTTTCCAGGGGCCAACCTCGCCCCTAGGTGTCACATCCTCCTTCTGGGTGTCAGGTGTCCTCCTGAGGACACATCACAGAGACACGCTGCCCCTCTGGCCTAGGCCCCCAGCCCTCCGCGTCTCCCCATGTCTGCACCTGCCCTGGCCCAGGCACCCGCCTCTTGCCAAGATGCTCATAGCAGCCTCCCCTCGGGTCTTCCTGCCTCCAGTGTGGCCACTCCCACTTCGCCTCCCCCGATGGCCAGGGTGGTGTCTGCAGTAAGGACCCTCGTTCCTGGCACCACACACCTGAGTCCTCCCTGCCCCTTTTCCACCTGGACTGCTACTTGGGGTTCTCTGCCTCGATGTTCCTCAAACATGTCCTCTCACATCCTTGGCCTGCAGTGGGAACAGCAGGTGGTATCAAGTTCCCGATCTTTCTGGACTGGTTCAGATGCCCCTTCCAGGGAGCCTTCCCAGACTTCCCCGCGGGAGAAGCATCCATCCCTGTGCTGGGCTCCCACAGCCCTCCGTGCACATGGTCGTCTATCCTGGCACGTGTGCTGGGGGTCCCAGCGGGGGCTCTTCCAACCAGGGGAAGAATCTTATCCAGGGTTCAGCTCAGGGCTGGCTTCAATGTGAGTGGATAAATGAATGAGTGAATGACAACTGCCCGTCCCAAATGCAGAAGCTTTATTGTTGCAGCTGAGGGACAAGGGCGGGCGGGGTGAGGACGGGCCCCAAGCCCCCCAGTCCTAACCCAGTGCTCTGTCCTCCTGGGGCTCCTCCTCTGTCTCCTTCCTTTCCTCCTCGTGCTGCTTCTCCAGCAGCCCACACTGGTCCTGGGAGACGGGGAGAGGAGAGCACAGTGACGGGGAGGGCAGGGGGCCCGGGGGGGAGACGGAGTAACCTGTGGACTATGGTCCCGGCCCGGCTCTGCCACTTCTTGGCTGGGTGACCTTGGGCCAGTCACTTTCCCTCTCTGAGCCTCAGCTTGTTCACCTCTAAAATGGGGCCTCAAACCCTTAAGAACAGATGGCGTTTCCCAAGCCCTTATGACCCGCCAAGCCCTCATGCTGACCCCCTGGATCCCTCACCCCGATCTGCAGATGGTGCCACTGAGGCTCAGGGCGGCCGTGTGGTCCCCGAGGTCCCCCAGCTGGGAGATGGGGGGCGGGCTGCAGGCCAGGGACCAACCCCAGTGCCTGTGTTCATAAGCTCTTTCCCAGTGTTCCTGGGGACGAGGGATGATTTGTGCCACTGGTGGCCACAGGAGGTGACCTCGGGGGACAAGCCGATGGAGAGGTTTTCATGTTAATGATCATGGGAGTATTTCACGTACATCCACAGACGTGTACCCAGCTCGTCCACTCTGGGATCTGACATTGTTGCCTAGGACAGGACCAAGTGAAGCTTTTGTGTCACACAGGTTTAGGGAAGGGATTCAGGAGATGCTCTCACAGGGAATTCTGGGTTAGAGCAACAATCGGGACGGTGGTCCTGGGCATGCTGCAGCCTGGGTGACACTGAACCACACACCAGCTCCCCTTGCCCAGATTAAAGCCTGGGGTGTGGCAGGCTTTTGTAAATGCTAATTCCCTGTGTGTCTCTTTCCCAGGTTCCCACCGCCACACCTCAGCTGTGCTGTCACCTCTTTGGTCTTTCCACTCCCCCACCTGCTCTGGCATCCTCCCTCACTTCCAGTGACTTCTCCTCCTGGGCCCTCGTCCACCCCAATGGGCCTCTGGGAAACTCAGCTGTCCCCGCAGTGAGGCAGGGGCTTCAAAGCAGGATATCTGGCCTCGCTGTGCAGCCTTGGCTGGCAGCTTTCCCTCTCTGGGCCCCTGGGGCTGCCCAAGGTGGGACCACCCTCAGGGTGGGCACTGCCCAGCCCTCCTTCTATTCACCTTTTCGACATCTGCATATATAATTTCCGACTTGTCCAGGCCCATGCACTTGATGGCTTCATGGAACTCACTCCATTGCTCTGGGGTCACCTCCGGCATGTCAGCTGCAGGAGGCGGGAGGGAACTGGGTGAGGATGCTGGGGGTCCTGGGTGGGAGGCCGGGGAAGGCTGGGGTTCTGGGGGCCCATCCCCAGGTGTGGGTGGTCCTGGGATGAGGCCGGGGTGGGTGAGAGGTGGAGGGGTCCCTACCGTAGAAGGAGAGCCCCACGTTCTGCTCATCTTCTGGGAAGTAGGCAAACATGAAGGTCCTGGGGTCCTTGGTGAGCCACACGTAGGCAACATGTTCTCTGCCATTCTCTAGAGGAGGGAGCCTGTGGTGAGACCACGGGGACAGCACCATGGCTCCCTTCTCACAGGCGAGGACACTCTGCCCAGTGCCACACGGCCGATCGGGGAAGGCCAGGGGCTCACCTGGGCCCCGTGTCCCATCTCCTACCGCATGCCAGACCTTCGCGGAGCATGTCACTCATGTGGAATCAGAGGAGTCTTTCTCCCCATTTTACAGAAGAGGGAAGTGAGGCCCCGAGAGGAGCCTCGGGCTGCTACGTGCTGTTGGTTCAAGTCCTTCGGCATTTGTATGCTTCTACTATGTGCCCTCTCTGCAGTGATGGCGATGGTGTGGGTGAAGTCACTGCCTGCACAACACACAGGCTGCCACCCTGAGCTCCCAGAGGATGAAGAGTGGGTGAGAGAGAGGCTGCAATGAGCCACCGGTGGGTTTGAATCCTAGTTCTCCTTGCAAGCTGTGTGACTTCGGGGAAATAACTTGACATCTCTGTTTTTCTGTTTCCTCATCTGATCCTTATAATGTCCTCCTAGGGTTGTTTGTGAGTATTAAGTGGGTTAATTCATGTCAAGTGCTTCAAAGTGCCTGGCACGAAGTCAGAAATCAAAACTGATGGCCGTTATTACTAATTATTGCAGTGTGCAAGCAATGGGATGGTGGAGATAGAAGAAGTGGGCCTGTCCCGTATTCTCTGTGCCCAAAGCCCCCGGGGCTTTAGCCCCAGCCCCCCCTCCTATAGGCTGACCCACCCACGTCCTACTGCTTCCACTCAGCAGCCCTGTGCCCGAGGGCTAGCCCTCACCGTGTTTGGATATGGTCCCACGCTCCCGCTGGACAGTCAAGATGCCGGCTTCGTAGACGCACTTGTTCCCCCTGAAGCCAGGCAGAAGGGGGAGAAAAGCAGTAAGTGGGTCAAGGGGAAGTGGACCATCACTCGTCACAGTCACCAGGGGCGGGAGTCGAGGGTGACTGGAGTCAGCCCTCCCCTCTCCACGGGTGGGACGGCCTAGGCCAGAAGCTGGGGCTGGGGCAGCGTGTGGGGTCTCACGTGGTCAAGTACTGCCTGAGCTGTATCGTGTCCTCCGCGTAGTTGGGGGCAAAGTAAAAGAAGGCCGCCTGATACATCTTAGCCGACTCCTTGTACTCAGGGTTGCGCAGGGCTGACGCGATGTAAAACCACTTGCCAGAGAGCTGGGGGAGAAGCCAGGAGCAGGTGATGGAGGCTGGGAGTGGATCGTCGGTGGTGAACTGAGACACGACTCTGCAGATCTCTCCTCCAGTTTGCACACAGGGGACTGGGGCCCAGGTGAGGAGGGGGTGTGCAGGAGCTCATGCTGAGCATCAGGCATCTCCCCCACCCCGGGCGGCCCTCTTTCCCAGGACAGAATCATCCCCTGCTGAGGGACCTGGCAACGAGGCTTCTGAGTGTGGAGGCTGAGGAAAGCCTCTGGAGGCTGGTCAGAATTTCTCCCCAGGCCCCAGGAGAGAAAGGGCAGAGTCAGGAGGAAGGCTGAGCACAAGCCAACAGGGGAAAGGGAAGCCCAGAGAGGGAGGCAGCTGCCCACCGGCCCAGCACTCACCCGAACCAGGGTGACGTCAGTGATAGGTGCTGCCCTGAACTTGGCACACGCTGGGCTCTGGGCGTCCAGCAGAGGAAGGAGGCTCAGGACGGCAAGGGCCCAGGGCAGCGCCATGCTGAGAAGGGGGGCACCTGGAGCCAAACAGAGCTGGTGGTTGGAGGGTGCAGGGACCTTTATAAGGAGCTGTGGGCGGATGTGACACAAGCTGGAGATGGGGAAATGCCTTACACAAAACCTTCCCTCCTTCCCTGAAATCCAGCTGTGGGCAAAGCCTCTAAGACCCAGGTCTAATCTGGGTCCCTGACCTGGGGGGTTACAAGAGCCTGAAGGTCTGGCTGTTCAAGGTCGAGGTGGGTGTGGGCTGGACGGATATTTGTCAACATGTGGGTTTCAAAAGATGGGCCTCTGAGCAAGCTCTCATTTTCATCCAACTCCTGTCCCACTGAATTGAGAGAGACCCAGCCATAGATCAAATGTTGAAGGCAGCTTAGAGCTCCCTGGCTCCAGTGGGGTGTAGGGGGAGATGGGCTGGGGGAGGGGTTTTGGGGTGGGGGGAGGGCAAACAGGGATTCATTTCAACTGAGTGTGGTGACAAGTGTGACACAGCAAAAGTCCAGAGGGGCCCGACTCCCAGGAGGCAGGGACGCTTCCCAAAGAAGGGGGCATCCATGCTGAATGTCTGTTTCTAGGAAATGTGTTGCTTGAACCATCTCCCAACATCCACAACAGGAAGTTATCCCTGTGTGGTCTCCACCCCCTGCTATGCGAGCAGGGAGCTGCCTCTCTGTCCCCTGACACGTCCCTGTCCTGGAGCAGCGCCCAGCGCACGGGGCCTCAGGAACCAATGCGGATGAATAATTCCACTGCCCTTTTGCGTTTCTACCTGAGGGCTCAAATCTTCATCCACGTGAATAACTACTTTCAAAAAGTATTATTACGGTGTGCTTACCATTTTGGATTCTTATTCATTTTGTATATTTTCAATAATTTTTCATGTTTCGGTGAAGTTGGTAGCTGTGATTTGAATGGATACATAACCTTTCATTTGCTTCCTAGATTCTAACTGACAGAATCATGTCCTCTCTTGTATCTGTAGTGTTTTGTTTTATGTTTTCCAGCTCTATTGAGACAGAATTGCCGATAGCATTTGATACTGTGATTTTGTCCCTCTGATGATAAGCATCAGAGAGAGACCAAATTGCTTTCCAGAAATATGGTACCATTCAAGAGAGAGAAAAGCATGTGTGGTGTGTAAATAGCCAGAAACTGGAGACAATGCTAATGTCCATCAACAGGAAAGTGTTAAAACAAATTGTGGCCTTTTCACACAGTGGGATATTACTTAGCAATAAAAAGGAATGAGCTACTGATACGTGTAACCACATGAATGAATCTCCAAAACATTATGCTGAGCAAAAGAAGCCAGACTTCATAGAGCACATACAGTAGGATTACATTTATGTAAAGTTCTAGAACAGATAAAACTAATCTATAATGATAGAAATCTGATCACTGGTTGCCCAGGGCAAGGAGGAGGGTTTGATGCCAGAAGGCGCGGGAGAACTTTCTGAAGTGGATGCGATGCTCTGTATTTCATGGGGGCGGTGAGGACACATGCGATGCACACCTGTGAGGACTCAGTGACCTGTAACCCACAGTGTGTGCGTTTCATCGTGTGCCAGTTACACCTCAACTAAGTCGATTTAAAAACAGAGAAAACAAACACAGGACAAATCAAAGAACACTGACAATTTTTGATGCTGTGCCGATTTGACAGTACACAGGCGAGTCTCTTTCTCCGCATCTGGCCTGAACTGGAACTTCCCTTCTTTTCTGTCTGTTTGGCAGCTCAGTTAGTGTTTTGAATTTGCATTGTTCCAATTTGAGTCTTGATAAATGACGGGTTTTTCAGGAGGGAAGAGCGTGGGTGACAGAGAGCGTGGGACAGAAGGACCTGGAAGGTCTGTGAGGTGGGGCGTGTGATGGCCTTGGGGTGACCAGGGAAGATGCTGGAGAGGTTGGCGGGAATCCGAGCTTGCAGGACAGGGAAGCTGGGCTGAGGAATTGCTGTGGACTCTGGGGTGTTGGGGAGAAATTGCAAGATTTTAAGTGTGTGAGTGGTGAGTAGTCAGATTTGTTGTTTAGATAACCACTCTGTCTGCAGAGGGAGGAAGGGAGGACAGAGTAGGGCAGTGGGTGGGGAGGGCAGGGAAGGCGGCTGCAGTGGTCCAGCTGTGAGAGGATGGAGAGGGGACTGATGCAGGCACCGTTTATTTCCAGGAGAGGCTGAGCGTTGGGGGGACACCACCACCATTAGACCCGGGCTATTAGGGCTCCTGTCAGAGCCCAGAGCTTTAGAGGGTCCACCCCCCACACACACAGTTTATTAAAGAACACATAAGCACCTCTGTCACTTGGGATCTGGTGCCTGGGACTGGCACAGAGCGCCCACAGCCCTAAACAACCTTTCTCACAACCAACAGTGTTCAGACCCCAGAGGAACAATTCTTTGCATTTTGCACTAATCCTTGAAACATCAGCTGCTGTAGCCAACCGTCCTGAGCCTTTGTGGAAGATGCTGCTGCCGATACAGGAGACAGACGCTATTTCAGAGTTCAGGGAGGATTTGAGGAGACTTCAGGTAAGAGAAGAGACAAATTAATTACCTTTTTAATTCCTCCCTCTTAGCATACAGGCAATACATTCTTGCAACATCAGGTCCTGTTTCCCAGTAACACGATGAGTCTGTTTTCCTGCAACGTGAGGTTGGGGAGGGCCTCCCGGGGGGGGGGGGCTGGGCCCAGAGAAGGTGTTCACTGAACATTCGTGAAGCCATGAAGGTCCATCCCAGGACAGCGAGAGCGATTTTAGCAGGGGAGTGGCGCGGTCGGGTTTATGTTCTAGAGAGAGTTCTCTGGCCGCTAGGAGGTGAGAATGGAGGCCCAGAGGCTGCTGAGAGGCTGCCTCACCCGGGCGAGATGGTGGGGCCGATGGGAGGTGGGGGGGGGATCTGAGCAGAGATGTTTAGGCGTCGGACCTACAGGACTTGGGAGCTGGTTAACTTTCGGGTTGTTCAGGGAAGGAGAAGGGTCTGGAATGACTCAGATTTCTGACTGGCTGACAAGTTGGTGCTGATGCAGAGATGGGGACCTCAGGAGGGGAGTAAGTTTGTGGGAAAGATGAATTTGAAGTGCCAGCTGTCAATCAACCACTAAAGATTAAGTCAGGGAGACTGAGATCCTGATAGGAACAACACAGAGAGGTCATGTGACACCCACGTGGGTGTCCCAAGTCTCGGCCCTCGTTCAGCAGCCTTTGGCCTGAGACACGGCCCCGAGTTGCCCTCGGTCTGTATGCAGCACGGAGCCTGGGCCCTCCTCCCAGGGGTTGAGTGGTGAGGGTGCTCTCCTCAGCGCCCCCACAGTTGCCGTGAAACCCCCACAGCATCTCCCTGGGGATGGAGGGGACCACTGCCCTGGGGGCAGAGAGAGGTCCCCGCTCCCTCTGGTCACTCATCTGAGAGCTGGAGGTGGCACCAGAAAACACTCACCCCCGAGTCCAGGGCTACCAGGCAACAGTACCCCTGAGGGGGCCCCGCCCCAGCAGCTGCCCAAGGTGGAGATGGAGAGCCTGGCTCACCGGGGGACGGCCCTGCCCAGCCCAGAGCCTGACGCTCCGTGTGTCGGGGGGTTTTGTGTAGGGCGTCTGGGGGATTGTCTGCCACAATGTCGGCACTGCCCTCAGAACGGGACACTGGAGATGCAGGAGCCGGGGAGAGAAGTGCCAACGGGATTGACTCCCCAGCAGCTCATACAGGTCCCATAACAGGCGGGCTGTGTTTGGGGTTCCACGGGGATGACAGCAGCCTTGCAGAGGGGCCCCGGCATCTTCCCGCCTGCTCACGTTCGGGTGGTGATGGCAAGAACCGTGTGTCTCCTTGTCCTCTCTCCATGCACGGCCCTTGACTCGGCTCCCTCTTGGAGCCTGGAGTCTGTTCAGTAAGGTTCCCTGAGCATGTCTGAGGTGTAAGGATCTCGGGGTGTAAGATGGGGCCTGCTCCTCACCTGCCAGGGGCTCACTCTCTGGTTGGGAGACAGATGGACCAGCATCTTCTCCCAGGAGTGGAGAGGTGGGCTTGAACAATGTAGGGAATGTTTGGGGGACCCCAGGATGGGGGGCTGAGTCAGGGCAGGAAGGAGCTGGCCTGGACCGACACAGACAAATGTGGAGGAGGGGAGGGCAGCCCAGGGGCCGAGGAAGGGCAGAATTCAAATTCTAAGGTGGAGCTGGAGCCAATGCCCTCCTTACTCTGCAGCCTCACCCTGTCTTGAGAAATCGTCCCTGGGTTTCAGAATAGCTTCTCAGAGGCCCTGCATGTTAGGTTGGGTAAACCTCCAAGAAAGTTCTTCTCTGCTCACTGGATGTGCAGGGACATGAACTCAGAGAGGGGTCAGGAGATGTAGAAAGAAAAGTGGCGCACAAGGAAGTTCTAGAGTCATTTGACCCCAGTTGGCCCCGGTGCCTACTCGAAAGGGTTAAGGACGGGGTTATCCGTGCTGCACTCTGGGGCAGCTGAGCTCATCCTGCGTCTCCTCTTTGTTGCTGTCTCCACACCCTGCCCCAGCCAGGCCATCCTGGAGCTGCTGGAGGAGGTGTCGCGGCTCGTGTGTAGCTGGAGGACAGCCTGCACCAGCCGCCCCAGGGCAGCTCAGCGCGCCCAGCGTTTGCCTTCCACGGCCCGCCTGGGCCCGGGACGGGCCAGCAGAGTCCTTAGCCGCCTGGGGCTCCCACTATGGCAGGTGGATGACCCCAAAACTCCGGCCCCTGTGCCCTGGTGGCAGCCACAGAGAGTAGACCTGGCCGGCCTCTGGGGGTCTCCTCAAACATGTGGACTCAGGCACGGCCACACCCCTCTCTCACTCGTTCACTCCGTCATTCATTCACTCTGACATTTTTTTCCTGAGTAATATTCGATGCACACAAGAATACATTAAACGTGTGTGTCAATAATAAAGCTGCATACAATGGATATCCCTGAACTCTCCACCCGACTCTAAGCTGGAATATTTCCAGGACTCTCTCCCTCTCACCCACTCACTTGGTCCTCGTTCATTTATGATGACTTATAAAATCAGCTCACTTTGCAGTGTATCTGTGGCAGGGCAAGACGGTGAGGAT